TGTCTATCTTCACGTGTGTATCTTTGCCTTTGTCTCTGTAGGCTGCTTTCTGCCCCTTTCTATGAACATATTTGTCCAAATCAGAAAGGAACATCAACTGATAACAGAAATAATTATAATACAAGGTAGAATGTGGAAGCTATGAGAGCGAAATGAAAGCTACAAAGTGTTGAGTTCACTTACATGAAGGAGAGAGCACATCAGGCTAATAATTTCTTAATTTCTTAATCTAATGGCCTTTCCTCATTCTGCATCCTTCTTGACCTTTTTGCAGACTTTGACAATGTTAATCATTCTCTTTTCCTTAATACTCTTTTCTTTCTACTCTACTACTCCTCTCTATTGAGTCTCTAAATTATCTGTCCAATCCTTCTCAATCTTCTTTTCTGGCTCTCCAACCAAGTGACACCTGCTAACTGTAGATATCCCACACAGCTCTTTTCTGAGCCCTCTTCTTCTGTCTCCATGATAGTATATTTGCTTTATGTGGTTCCAAAGAACCAAATTAAATTATCATTTTTATGTGGTGAGTTTCTCAAATTTACTTATCTAGTCTTAATCTCTTTGCTCACTTCTAGTCTCACATCTCCAACTGCCTACTGAACATCTCAGCTTGCTGTCCCATAGATATCTTAGATTCAATATTCTAAAACTGAATTTGTTATCCTCCCTCCACACACCCTTCCTCTTCCAAACTTCCCTTTTATGGTTGAACGTATTGCCACTTTCCCAGTCACACAGGCTCAAAATCTAGGTATCATTCTCATTCTCTCTCACTCCTCATATCTAATGTGCTTCCAACTCCTGTTGATTTTACCTTTATAATATCTCTCATATACTTCCTCTTCTCTCTTCTTATCCCACCACCACATTACTGTATGCTGCCACATTTCCTCACACCTGGACTATTTCTATAGCCTGCTAGCTGGTCTCCCTGACTCAAATCTCTCACCACTCCGTTTTGTCTTCCACTCAGCTACCACAGTGATCTTCCTAAAGCACAGGGCTGAAAACATCACTTCCTATCAGTAAGTTAAGTCCACTAAGTTTCAATATATTCCAAATCCTGAGGAATAATATATGTGGGTTAGTATAGCACAGCCTATAAATAAGGATACAGTATATATACACTTGGTATATTACAAAACACTGAATTTAGAGTCAGCAGACCTAGGTCTGAGGCCTTCTACTTAATAGCTATAAAATCTTGCACAACATATTTTACTTCTCTAAACCACAGCTTCCTCATTGGCAAAATGAGGGAAATGACAAAAACAATCTCTATGATCCCTTCTATCTCTGATATTCTGTTGTCTGTGGTTTTCTCTAATCACATAGTCTGCTATGGTCCCCAGTAAATTTTTTATTTCATTTTGATTCACAGAAACCAATAATTATGATCAGACTGAGTGCCAGACACATTATGGGCTATTCAGCTAATGAGTACGTTGTCAGTGGAATTGAGATTATAGGTTCAATGCTGACATGGTCCATTAAGTTTAAACATATTACAAAGAACCTAAATCCTGGGGAATAACCCACATATATTATTGGCCATAACAGACATTAAAAAGCCCAGAGAGATCACCACAAACCAACCCCATTACTGGAACAACAATTCTGAAAACTTATCCCACTGATGTGTTGATAGCCTCATCTTCAAATAGAAAAGACAGATGAAAGTTTATAGACAATCCTTACTCATGAGACATGAAATATTATAGTATCATAGGATTTAAGAGTAGGAAGGAATCTCAGAAATTCTCTGTTCCATAGGTCCATACATTTATAGTTAGAAGGGTAAGAGAATATCTAGCCCAACTCTCTTATTTTACAAATGAGGAAACTGAGGCTCAGAGAGGCGAAGTGATTTTTCACTAGTCACATTGGCAGTCACAACACAGAAATTTAAAAATTATTTGATTATCTTGATTAAGAGAAAAGGGCTAATTTATGTTCAATATACCTTCAGTGAAACTCTAGGAAACTGTCATAGGCATTTGCTTTTGCTCCCAGTGACCGCTGGATTGAATCAAATCCTCAAACCTACCCGAGGATAATAATGCTATCTGACTATGGTGGGGAAGGAATGAGGAAATATGCCAATATTGCTATAACTGTGGATTCATATTTATAATTATGCCTTTTTTAAAATGTAGTCTACAAGACCCTCCATCAAAGGTGAGAGACCCAAACTTGAACCATAACAAAGCACCCTAAGGTAGGGAAGTGTTTGAAGCCAGTTAAAAGCAAATAAAAGTATATGAGTCCCATTGACTCTAAGATGTTCATGTCTACTCATCTGATAAGGGGAACTAGAAGGGTGCAAAAAGGGGAACAGGATCAGAATACAATTTCACTTATCTGGTTGTCTATAGGGGTAGGAGGAAACCCCACAACCAGATAAATGAAACTGTTCTCTGACACTCAAGTCCATAGCCAATGCTTTAAGGTGAAGTATCCTGTGGAATGGACTAAGGGTATCTCTCCTCATCTATAAAATGAGAGGGTTGAGCTAGATGGTTTCTGAGGTTCATATCAGCCCTGCGATGGTAGGGAATAGAGTATTTCTAAGGTTTCTTCTCTAAGGCATTTCAGGAGTTACCAGGCTACGTACTTTCCCACCTGTACCTGAGGGTTGAGGAAGTAGATTTCGGGATACCCAAGAGCCTTGCCAACTAAGTCCACAGGAAAAAAAAAAAAAGTTAGAATTGAGTTATCATCAAGGATAAAAAAAAAGTTGTCAAAGAAAAAGAAATTGGGCAAAAAAAGATGTACTCAAGAAAGAGTAATGCCTGGTGTCCAGTGGCTAGCACTTAGGGTCCATATTACAGGCTAAAAACTTTTACAACTTGTATCCCGCCTCCATTTCTCTCCTATATGGTCAATGTCCTTTTAAAAAGGACATAAGAAGGTGGTGTAATGTTTTGGGAGAGCATGTAAAAGGCAGGGGAGGAGTGAGTGGGGAAACAAGGTAAAGAAAAATCAGCTGTCTTCCCTCCATAGGGGATTTATAGTAGGTATCTGGGTATTAGAGAATCCAAAAACAAATTAGGGAAAGGAGTGGCAGTGAAGAATCCAGTAGCAAATGACCTGGGACTTCCTGGTATGAAAGAGAACTCTAAACTCAGGTCAGTGGCAATATATCTCTTTTGGTTTCTAGATTTTTACTGTGCTATTTCACTTCATGTATCTGCAGGGTGTTCCAAAAGTCCTAGCTTATCCAAGTCAAAAGGGACTCTCTATTCTCCACCCTTAATCTTCTCTCTTCTGTCCCTGCTCCTTTGTCTGCACCATTTCCTATCTCCATTTGTTCAAATTCCTCCTTTCTTTCAAGATCCACATCAGGTGCCACCACATGTAAGCTCTCCTTGATCTCTAGTTAAAAATGATCCTTCTATCTTCAAATTTCTTTTAGCACTTTGCCCATACCTTCTCTTTACATGTATCTCACATTCCCATTTGTTACACATGTTATACCACAGTGATTTGCATAACTCTCTGTGATCTTAACATTGCCCTAATTTTCTATCTTATCTCATCCTATTTTTAGCCATGGGCTCCATATTTCAACCAAACTGGACTACTTGTCACCCCTCTTACACCTCTTACCTGTCCCCACTGCATGTTTTCTTTCCTCCAAAAAATAGCACATGCTGTTACCTATGTCTAGAATGTCCTCTTTATTATCTTTTCATCTAACCTGTTGAATTCTTACCCCTCATGTAAAGGCTATCTCAAACGCTATCCTGGAAGCCTTTTTTGATCTCTCCAGATCAGGAATGACCTTTCCACACTTAAATCTCACATTGCTCTTATATACTTAGGTACTATCATTACTTCTATAGATTTTGTATCCATTTACTAAATTGTAAGCATGTTGGAGGCAGGGACTCTGTCTTCTTCACATTCTTTATCTTCTCTAATACCTAGCACAATGCCACATACAGTGGATATTTAATAAATGTTTGTTGAATTTAATTAGTGATTCTAGGGATACCACATCTCAAAATGTTATGTTACTTGCCTTGGTCTACATTTTGGGTAACTGCTAGAGAAAAAGATGTAAAAAGCAATGAATTGCTACAAAGGCAAACAACAGGAATGGGGAAGAATAGAAGACATGATCTGGAAAATCCATAGACTGGATAATACAAAATTGACTCTACCTAGTAATAATCCTTTGTTTCATAAGCTGTATTGGAAAACTATCTTCTTATGAAAGAATCATTGTTGTCACAAGCCTCAAGCACTTTAAAGAAATTAAAATTTTTGCTGGTTTTTAAAAAAATAAGAAGCTCTTTAAAATATGGGCATCATCTATTAATTTTTCCACTGAGTATTTCCCTTTTGAATTTGAATTTCCATTGCCAAGCAGAATGTAGAGCACATGGCAGGCACTTCAAAGGGAGGCAGATTGGCCCAGTGGCGAAAGCATTAGCTCTAGGCTCAAAGGGTATGGGTACAAATTCTGCTTCTGATGCTTACTATCTGTGTGCTGTTGGGCAAATCACTTAATGTCCTTGGGCTTCAGTTTTCTCATATGTAAAAAGAGAGAGAGAGAGAGAGAGAAGATAAACCAATTGGCCTCTGATGTCCCTTCTAGCTCTAAATCTATAAATAAATTCTTGTTGATGGACTGAATTGCCATTTATCTTTATTCTAGTAAGAGCTATCATAATTACATCAGCCTCTGCAAAGAGTGCACTACTATGTGTTATTTCAGCATCAAGAGAACAAATTGACCCACTGGAAAGCTGTAGTCAGCTGTATTATTTCATGGGAAAACTGTTTGTCAACTCCCCAGAGAATCTGGAGTTGAATGTTCAACATAAGACATTCAGCTTCCACCAAAACAGGGCCAGTAAAACATATCCCTAGAGATTAATATCAAACATTCCACTCCAATTCTCTGATGCTTGTTTTGGGTTATTTTGATTGATGGTGGAATTAAAAACTCAAGTTATTTTTAAAATGGGCAAACAGTCTTTTCTGTTAGTATGATAAATACAGATGCAGAACCAAAAGTCAATATTCTAAAAGGCTCCAGCATCTCAGAGCAAGAAAGGACCTGGGAACCATCTAGTTCAACCCACTTATTTTCCAGGTAAGGAAAGTGAGGCCCACGGATGTGAAGTGACAGAGACTACTAGGTGGTACGGTGGATAGAGAATTAGACTTGGAATCAGGAAGAAACAAATTCAAATCTTGCTATAGATGCTTATTAGCTTTTCTACCCTGGGTTGAGTCACTTAGCCACTATTGGTGTCTTTCCTTATCTATAAAATGGAGATGTTAATATAACCTATTATACCATCATTGTGAAGATCAAATGAAATAATATATCCAAAGTGTTTTGCGAACCTTAAATGTGTTATATAAATGTTATCAATTATTATTATTATTATTATTATTATTATTATTTATTACCCAAGATCATAATCTAGTTATCAAAAGAGCTGGAGCTAAAACCCTGATTTCCTGATCTCCAATCCATTGTTCTTTCTACTATAAACTGGTAGTGCCAAATGATTATGGCTAGAGTCTGACTTATCCAAGTATTAATACATTCATAATTGCATTTGACCCTCACAACAACCCTGTGGAAATAGGTAGAGCTGGTATTCATGTCCTTTATTTGGGGGGAAACTTAGACCTGGAGATGCTAAGTAACTTGCTCAGGGCCAGCTGGAACTGGCATTAATATCTTCATTTTACAGCTGGGGAAACTGAGACCTAGAAAAGCTGAGTGAGTTGCTCAGGGTTAGACAAAATAATACCAGACATTGGACTAGAATATGAATCTTATGACTAATCTAGTGCTCTTACCATTACATTGCTCTTCTACCTGTGTTGTATTTTTCCCATTTGTAAGCCTGTGGGTTTAAAAGGTTTCCTTTTGTGCAACAGAAATCTTCTTTAGAAATAATGTGAAAGGAATTTAAGGTTCTCCATAGACTTTGGAAAAGTAAACCACAGATATTCTGTTGGATATTCCTCAAGGTAGCTAACTGAGGAGAGGAGAGGAGAGGAGAGGAGAGAGAGGGAGAGAGAGAGAAGAACAAGAACATTCAGGGAAAGTGGTAGGTATAGGGGATAAAGAGATGCTTTCAGAATCTGGAAAACCTAGGTTCAAGTCCTACCTTTGAAAAAAAACATACTGCTTGTATGACTCTGGGAAAATCATTTAAATTCTCAATGTCCCCAAGGCAACTCTCTAAGACTCATTGCCAATCTTCTTTGGTAGAGTGAGTTTCCTAAAAAGGAGTTCCCAATACCAATGAAATCACAAGTCCAGAGAAACACATAATATATGCATATAATATATTTGTATATTTTACACATGCCAATATGGGCACATACACATACACACACATTCACACACATGTGCACACTTATACGCATACACACGTGCATGTATACATGTGTGTCAATATGCACATGTGGGTATGTGTGTACATGCACATGCACGTATGCAGCTAGGTGGCACAATGAATAGAGTGTTGGGCCTAGAGTCAAGAAGACTCATATTCTTTTTTGGGGGGGGGGGGGCTAGGCAATGGGGTTAAGTGACCTGCCCAAGGTCAGACAGCTAGTAAGTGTTATGTGTCTGAGTCCGGATTTGAGCTCAGGTCCTTCTGAATCCAGGGCTGGTGCTCTATCCACTGTGCCACCTAGCTGCCCCAAGAAGACTCATATTCTTGATTTCAAATCTGGCCTCAGACACTTACTAGATCAGTGATCCTGGGCTTAACCCCATTTACGTCAGTTTCCTCATCTGTAAAATGAGCTGGAGAAGAAAATGGCAAACCACTCTAGTATCTTTGCCAAGAAAACCCCAAATGGGGTCACAGAGACTCAGACTCAAGTGAAACAACAGAACAGCAAACAACAATGCATACATACATATATAGACTTAAATGCATACATATTATATGTGTGTATATTTGTATGGATTTTTGGACTTTATTTGGCATTGAAGCCCTTCAGCTATTTGACTCTTTCCAGTTCTTATCTTCTACTCTTTCCCTTTGCACTGCAAGATGACTTGGTATTTATTCCTTGAATCTGTCCCATGCTTTCTCATCTCTGACACTTAGCTTACATTGTTTCCTCTGGCTAAAATGTTATGCTCCTATACCACAAGCTCCGCTTGTACAATTTATACTCATCTTTCAAGAATCAGATCAAGTACATCTCTAGGAAGTCTTCCTGACAGCCTCTAGAGGAGAGGTTCTTAACCTTTTTTTTGCGTGTGTGTGTGTGTGTGTGTGTGTGTGTGTGCGTGTGTGTGTGTTACATAGTGCCTATGGCAATCTAATGAAATTTTGGATTGCACTCTCTTCAGTATAATTAAATCATTTAAGGAAATAACTAAATTTCAGTTAGATATTTGTGAAAATAAAGATGTGTTTCTTCCCATTCAAATTCACAAACCTCTTGAAATCTAGCCATGGACTCCAAGAGGTCTGTGCTCCCCAGGCTAAGAACTCTTACACTAGAGTAACACCTCTTTCACTAGGATCTCCCACATAGACTACAGATACTGTTATTTCATCTTTAAGATCCAAATGGAATAGAGTAATTTGGCTGACATGTTGGAGAGTTTTAGTTCATTCCAGAGAGACTTGCTATGCCAGTGAGGTGTTTGAAATGCCTGTCATGTTGGTGAGAAAGTGAAAAAGAGAGAGAATGAGTAAAATATTATTTGAACTTATGAAGAAGTCTTATAAAGAAAATTACATGAGAAATAAGTCTAGCAAAGACACTGTTTTCCTCTCAAGGATGGAGAGAAATTAGAGAAGGTAGAGAGAAAGAAGGTGGAAAAATATTTTCTGGTGAAGTTGTTTTGAGTGTATGAATAAACAAATGAATGAAAATAGCATTTAATAAGTGCTTACTATGTGCCAAAAGCAAAGATAGTCTTCGCACTCTAGGAGCTCACACTTTAAATGGGGGAGAAAACAGAAAAAGGAATTTCAGCTGTAGGGCATATGGAAAGGTCTAGAAGACCTAAAGGTTCAGCAACAAAACTGATGTGATGACCAAGGGGTTCATAGTAAGTCAGATGATAATGCTCTGGGGTCTGAGGGGTATAACAGCAGGGTAAGTAGTATCGGCTTAAGTACATTAGACTATAATGGCAGGGGAGATGATAAGGCCTATTGAATCTCCATCTCGCCCTACTGATATGAGCAGTAAGGCAGCCTTAGAGAGGGGATGAAGGGAATGGAAGGGTGCTCCTAGTGGTGGAAGATTTTCACCTCTATGTGTAAAAAAGATTCTTGAGAAAGCTCTATACTTAGTATCTTTTTTTTGTTGTTTTGTATTGTGTTGGGGAGGCAGTTGGGTTTAAGTGACTTGCCCAGGTAAGTGTGGGCTGGTCAATTAATAAGTGTTTGAGGTCACATTTGAACTCAGGTCATCCTGACTCCAGGGCTGGTGTTCTATCTACTGCACCACCTACCTGTCTCTTATACTTAGTATCTTGAGAGAAACTGAATGGTATGGGATTATGTTTAAAGAAGTGGTCACCTGCAGTTATTTCGATGATTTGAGTCAACTCTGGCTACGACAATTCTCACAATTAAATCACCGCAAATAATTATTTCTCTCTGTGTTACCATTGATTACCCTGTTAATAAACAATGCAGTCAATGTCTTTAATGTTTATTTAAAACCTAGGCTATTAGGGGTTTTAATAAGCAAATACTTATGGGAAGAATTTTCTTCAGTATATTAACTAAATAATATTTAATGAACATGGTTGGGAACTCCTAGTTTAGTTGATTAAATAATGAGAAAGATATTGAAAATCAGCAATTAGAGAAAATATTCAAACATATTCTTGAATTTTCCTAGAACCTGGGATGATAAGATTAAATATGGAAATGAATCAAATAGCAGGGTGATGAGTGACCATAAGTATGGCCAATTCAGACCAAAACCTTGCTACACTATCATGAAATAATCTCTCCCTACTTTCAACTAACAAAGTAGCACTTTCTACCTCTGTTGCCAATTGTACAGATGAGAAAAACTTCAGCATTCTGTGTTTGCATTTTAATATCTCTACATCGTTGGAGCTAAAAATTTAAAGCTTTGCATGACAGAAATCAGGGGGGAAAGCTTCCTACTTTTTCAAACTCAATGACAGATTGAACTGGGCTATCTGATTCCTAGATACAGAGCTGGAGCAACCTGAGGCCATCTAGCCCAACACCTCTCACTAAGAATATTAATTTGTATTGTTATCTTTTGGATATTTGACCTCCCAGAAGCCACCCTTTGGGGGAAAAAATTAAAAAATAAGGGGAGGAAAAACAGTGGCAAAATTCATATCAACTATGATTGATAATTTAATCAATGTCTCACACCTGAAGTCTTCCACCTCTACAAAGTGAGGGAAGCACATTTTCTCAATTCTTCCTTCCAGGACATTTGGTTATTATAATTATACAATATTTAGTTCAAGTTTTTTTTCCTCTTCCATTTACATTATTATAATCATTGTGTATATTGTTTTCCTAGTTCTTTTTTACTCTTCTTCCTCCAAGATACTAACAACCTTGCTACTCAAACCTCATCAGTATGCTCTGCCCCTCACACCCTTCTGATTGGAGGGCAAAGGGGAGAGTTCCTCCCAAAACCTCCATTTAAGAAAGGCTATCAGGCCAGCCATCTCTTCATTTCCCATTCAGCTGCACTCCATTGGACTTTTCCATCTTTCCCCCATGCTGAGAACTTTCTCTTCTGTTTTTTAGCCTCTTTTTTTTTTGTGTTGTCCTACCCCATTAGATTGCAAGTTCCTTGAGGTTAAGGACTATTTTTCTTTTTTATATTTACATCCCCAGCACTTACTACTGTACCTGGCACACAGTAGGCACTTATTAATGTTTGTTGACTAAGTGACTAATTGACTACTCTATCTCAATTTATTTGTATTCTCACCCTTCTCTGAAATCTTCATATTCAGTTTCTTATGTACACAATAATATTCCATCATATACAACAGCTGTGGTACAATTAATATACTGGAGTTAATTTAGCCAATTTTCCAACTGGTGAGAAACTCCTTTGTTTCCAGATTCTTTTCTATCAAGGAAA